TCCCCCTCTCTTTATCTCCTCCTCACCAACACTATTAGTTGGTGTATGGTCAGAATGTACAAACATATTTTATTATTACCTTAAGTTAAATGTAATTAGTAAATAAATCTCCTGCAAATTCTATTATAATACATTCTAAAGCCAAATTGAAATGATTGCAGAATTATTCACTGTTTTAAGTTTTGGCACAATTTACCCCTTAGTAGAGTCATTCAGATTCTCTTTACCATGACCCTATTTCTAGAAAATGTTCTCATCAAGCACAGTAGGGAACCATTCTTTGAGGACCCTTAGCCTATGGGTCGCATGGATAATATTACCTATGGCATGCTAGATAATAACAGGTGTGCGTATTTAAGAATTTTTCTTTTGTGGGAATAGAAGGCACCAGTGAGGAGGAAGTAAAAGCATGGAAAAGTAACTAAGCTAAGAATTAAGCTAAGTAAGTAAGCTAAGAATTTCAGTCTGGGTTTTGAATAGGTAGTAGAACAAAACAAAAAGGAAAACCCTGACACTTCTTATCTTTTGTCATTGCAACTGGCCGCCCATAGTTAAGGGCCTTGCCACTGAATCTGAAGACTAGTAACATGGAAAACCCCTGGGAGCTGGCTAGGAGCTCAGCATCTCAGTCCACACCCCAGGCTTTCTGAGTAAGAATCTGCATTTTAACAAGATCCCCAGGTGATGATGTACACATCAAAGTGTAAGAAGCGCTTGTTTAAGGTGGAAAGGAAAGGAAAGAGGCACTATCAGAATTTTAAGAGAATCCATTCCAGGAGACAATATAAGAGTAATGATGATTACTTGGTTTTCTGCACATATGTTTCCTATTTTAAATATAATGTAACATAGCTCTTCTTTAATTGCCTTTCAGTATAGGCTGTTTCCTTCACCGATTGTGTAAATTATGTTTATAATTCCCATGCATCAACTGGGTATTCTTTTTATGTAGCTTGAGAGGTACTTAGATGCTCTGTAAAGTTTTGTTTTAATTAACGTAATAAAAGCAATAATTAAAAGGAACAACCTTTGTTTCAATTTGGAAACCTTTCCATAAACTAACATATGCCTTAAAAATTCCTACATACTTTAGCAAAACAAAATGGAAACAAACCAAAAAAACCCTGGTAACATTCTGTTCTGAAAGATTTAGAAAAATGTGCATAAACCTGCACTTGCATATTTTGTGTTGTAGGTATAAAATTTTTACTTTAAAAGGAATTAAAATTAAGCTGACAGCATTTTGCCTGCAGTACCTCCTTATGACAGTAGACGGCTTCAATTCTTTAGAAATTACATACAGAATAGTCTTTTTTTTAAGTTTCTATATTGATCAGTTCTTTATATCATTTAGAAACTAGAAAAGTAATTTTAAAGCTAAAATGGTTTTACCACAATTTTTTACATGACTGATTTACTCTGTGTTTTTTTAAATTTCTGTGATTTTATTCTTTCTGTTATCTGACATGTTTTTAAACAAGGGAAATAATTGAATGGTAC